CACAGGGCCTGGCAACATTTCATTCTGTTATGCGTACGGTCAGCATGGGACAGATCCAATTCAATGGCAACAACAATCGGCTAAAATCACCATAATGAACAAAAGAAAGGATATAAAACTTACTGGCAGCTTACTGTTCATCTATTCTTTTTTGTTTTAGTATATATTTAAGACACTCAAAAATGCCCTTATACATACCCCACAACCTAATAAAAACATTAAAATTACAGTGGAAGGCATTTATTATTTATTATGTATAGAAATGCCAATATTTTGTTATTTTAAACCACTTGTTCAATGGTTTTGAAAACATGAACCCTAAATAATTTACATAGAAGGCACTATGTCAGGTGCTGTACATTGGGCAAAAAAGACTTAAAGAAAAAAAAATAATATCCTGCCCTATTAGAGCTTACAATCGAGCAACAGAGATAAAATACAACTGCAAAAATAAATAAACATCTGTAAAAACAAAGCATGATTTGAAGTTGAAAAAGAGAAGCATAAATTAAATCTGGGAAATTTCAGAGCAAGGAGCATTCACATTCAATTTGAAAATGAGGAAAGCATTCATGGAAAAAATGCCTTTTGATAAGGAGTTCAAAGGATTAGTAAGAATTTGAAAGATAAAAGAATATGGACTGTGATTGCTGATTAACAGCCACATAAACTGACCACAGGGGCTTTAGGAAAAAGGCAAATTTATTGAAAAGTCATTTGGAAGCTTAAAGAATCAATAGAAGATGGGAGGATCATCTCTTAAAAAAGCAAGGAAGATAAAGGGCAGGTTTGGAAAACTGGCAGGAATCTTGACAAGCAGAGAGAAAACTCTAGTCAGAAAATCATCACCATATTAACAAGGCAGTTACAACTGCTTTTTGATCCTTGCATCCAGTTGACTGAATCTAGGTCATGGGCCAGCAGTCTGGATAGAGAGATGAGGGAAAGGAGAACCATACTCAGTAACAACCCAAGTGGGAAAAGTAATTCTGCTTCTAGTGACTTGAATACCAAGTTTCTTAGTTACTTAATGCTGCCATAATAGAAATACCACGAATGGGTGGCTTTAAAAAACAGAAATTTATTTTCTCACAGTTCTGGAGGCCAAATGTCCAAATCAGGGTCTCGGCTGTGTTGATTCCTTCTGTGAGCCTCTCAGTTTCTAGCGTCTGCTGGTGATCCTTGACATTCCTTGTTGTTTCTTAGTGGCTGTCTTCTCTGTGTCTATCCCGGTCTTTCTATAACTCAGAAGTGATTAAGTTTAGAATCCACCTTATACTGGTATGATATCATTAACGTAACAAAAGAAAACCCTGTTTCTAAACAGGGTCACATCCACAGGTACGGGGGTTAGGATTTGAACATATATTTTGGGAGGACACAATTCAATCCATAACACCAAGCTTCGGTAATCTGATATTCATTATATGTATCAAAATATCAGTTTTCTTTTTGTTAAACTACTTTTTCAATATTTTGGAAAACATGAACGTTGAGCAATATACCTCTTGAGTCATACCAAGAGAGATATATACTTAGCATTGATATTTTGAATCAAAGGTATACTCATTTGGAAAGCATCCTTCTTTGTCTCCATAATCCTCATAGAAGGAAGAAAATGACTACGGACAATGCATAGTTTCTCTAGAAAAGATAATGCTCAAACCTAGTTCACACGCTTTCTAAACAAGTGGAATATAAAAATGGCAATACTGAAAATGATAATGTGTACCTCTGCACTAAAATCTCCATGTTCCCATCATTAAGCTAAAGGAGACATAGATGAACTGGAAATGCTCAGTCTGAAGCGAAACTGTAACTTGTTATCAACAAAAATGGTTGTTCAAAATGTTTAAATGCCCTTACAGTTCTCAAACAAATAAAGGGGTTGTTTTCTTGTTAAATGGTTAGAATAAAACTTTAGAGTTAACTAATAACTATGTCCTCTCCATTACCCTGACTAAAGTAGCATCAGAAAGAG